TTTTGGTGAAGTCAGCAGAAATAACAGGGGTGAACTCCGGAAAATGAGAAATGGAGCAAGGGCTCTTTAATAGCTAACTAGTTCCTTTCCCCTCCATGCCCAAACCCCGAGGAAGAGCAATTGTACAGTGTCATGGGCCCAGCCCAATTCCCACTGAAATATCCCTTAGTCTGGATACCATGCACCCAGCCTTCTCTTATTGGTGGGTGAGTCAGATGATATGGTTACTTGTCAGTATCGCAGGCTGAGCTGGGCATTTCAATCCTTGGCACTCGCTGTTTGAAATATGAACATGTAACATCTGGTGCAGTCTTTCTGACCAGTCAGTCAGGAGGGTGTTAGCGTGTGACAAAGATTTCTCACACCAGGTATGCAAAACTAAGAACCACAAGCTGACAGAAGTCAAAGGTGGCTCAGCTGGATTCAGACATTTGACTCTTTGGAGCCAACCATTATATATTGCCTCTCTTTGACCTGACTGGCTAGTCAAATTTCAAGGCCCTGGGGATGTTCTAGGTGGGAGTAAAAATTGATGGAGACTGGTATGTTCTTTGATGCTGTCTTGTTTATTAACAAGGAATGTACAAAGTCCTGCTTCTCTGAATGCAGGAGGAACCAAGAGCAAAAGAAGCCATTCTTAGCTTACAGCCCCAAGTCTCTTTAGCCAACGCCAGACCCAAAAGCTCTTTCTCTAGCTTTTTCCAGGGTCACAATGTACTTACAGGTTGCTGCCTCTCTCTCTCTCCCACACACACATACACTCACACTCTGCTTCTCTCTCTCTCTCTCTGACACTCACACACACACACACACACAGAGTTGAACCCTCTGCCCACATGGTGCTGGTTTCTGAGGACTCTGTCAGGTCTTGTTTTAGGTATGGCCCCTTAACTCTTACAACTATCTCAAATGAAGGGCATGTTCACACATCAGTTTCAATATGGTTTTAAGTCAACCCATAACAAGGATTAACCCAGCTCATAATACACACTCATATATTCACAGCATTCGAGCAGGGCCCTGATGGCATTTGTAAAAGCAGCAGTGTGTGTGCTTTCACATTTAACAGTCTATTCCAACAACATTTACTAAATATTTTGTTGCGGGGGTAGATTTCCTACTGAACACAGGAGACGAGATTGACGTCTCTGTTGACAGATGCAGGCTGCTTCTCCAAAACACAAATGAACTTGGAGGGAATGAGCATGTTCTGTATTACGGATATTTGGGAATATATATGTACATCAATTAGTATCTTGTTTCTAACTTGATTTCAGAGTTGAACAGATGGCCATCAGTGCTACACCACTAACCCCATTACTTCAACTACTTTATTGCACTGGTTTAGTAGATACAGTAGAACCTCAGAGTTACGAATTGATCGGTCAACCACACACCTCATTTGGAACTGGAAGTACGCAATCAGGCAGTAGCAGAGACTAAAAAAAGCAAATACAGTACAGTGCTGTATTAAACGTAAACTATTAAAAAATAAAGGGAAAGTTTTAAAAAAAAGATTTGACAAGGTAGGGAAACTGTTTCTGTGCTTGTTTCCTTTAGGTTAAGATGGTTAAAAGCAGCATTTTGCTTCAGCATAGTAAAGTTTCAAAGCTGTATTAAGTCAATGTTCAGTTGTAAATTTTGAGAGAACAGCCATAACGTTTTGTTCAGAGTTATGAACATTTCAGTGTTACGAACAACCTCCATTCCCAAGGTATTCGTAACTCTGGCTACAGGAAGGACTATGCTACAGTAGAATCTCAATCTATATTGCCTTGTTCTATTGGTACTAAACCATTTTATATTGTCTCAAATACATATAAAGCATAGGAGCATTAAGAAAAGGAGACTTCAAGTGATCGAGCAGCACAGGTTTATGTAATCAGTAACTTCCCTACTGAGTCATGATTACACCAAGATGGTCACAGCTAATTCCCTTAGTGATTCCGGTTCTATAGAAAGTGGCCCATTCTTCTGAGTTTACTCTGTCCAGCTGCTCTAATTTAGGGTTGGATTCTTCATAAAGCCTTTAAAATGTCTCTTTAATTTCGAGACATCTGTCAAGAAAATATAAAGAGAAACTCTTTCCAGCATGCAGAGGCAATGATGAAAGTTCTTGGCTTCTGCATTTACATGCCAGTGAGATTTGTTACATGATCTGATCTTTCCTCTCCCCTTGTCCACCCCACCTCCAACAGCACTTTCATGGCTCACTCTTACAGATTTGTTGTCTTCACTCAGGTTCCATGGGAAGACTAGAATATGCAAAAGAATGACGAA